GCATCTGGTTATTTATAGTTATAGTTTAAATATTTGCTTATTGTTTTGTACAAGACAGATTGCAAATAAAAAAAAGAAAAAAAATATATATACATATATATACATATATGTGCATATATATTAAAGAAAATAAAAATATGTTGAACCATTGCGCAATTAATAAAGCTCCAAACTCGCCGCGAGAACTTTCAACCAGCCAAAAACTGTCGCCTCCTGCTTCGCTTAGTCAACGGCAGACGCAGCCCGAACGGAATCCACAACAAAATTTTGCGGCCACTCGCAAAGAGGAAGGTCTTCAAAACTTTTAGCCAAAGTTTGCGGTCGACTGGGTACGAGTAATGTATATATAGATCTATATATATCTATTATACATCCATATATATATATATATGTGTATGTATGTATGTATGGTGTGTAGCTGGCTCTTATCCAATTAAGTCATAACTCAATATGTGCTGAGAGATATGCACTTGGCCATTACTTAGGCAAAGGCAAAAATTTTGCTCTAATAACTTTGGAGCTGATGCTTTCTTCCGTCTACTTTTTGGTGGCAAGCAGATAATTTTCACACCCCTCCAGAGCCACATTCAGCAGCAGCAGCACGTAGCAGTGCGGCAGCAGCCCAGCAGGACGAGGGGACGGCCGGACGGACGGACGGAGCAACAGCTATTCGGCTGCCTGGCATTGGCTTTTACGGCACCAGCGAGACGCTGCCACAACTCATTTGGCGTTGACCAGGACTATGTTGTTAGTTGCCCGCCAGCCCCCGCCCAGTTTCGGGCTCCTCGCCCGCCCTTGTGAGTGGCTGGTTGCTGCCTCAACTCCATCCATCTGCAGTTGAGCGCGCGCATAAATTATTCATTTGTAATGTGCAGCAGCACTCGTTGTCGGGCCACCGGCGGGTGCTGTGTGTGGGGTGGGGTGGGTGAGAGGATGGGGGCGGGTGAGTGGTGCACTTTTGGCACAGGATATGATACTGACACTCAACAACTACCCAGTGGAAACTGCTCTGGCAGGGGCGGCTCTTGGCCTGGGTCTGGGTCTGGCTCTGGATCTGGCTCTGTGCTCTTGGCGTTTACTTTCGGTTTGTAATTTCCTTCTGGAGTTTGCGGCATCGAAAAGGAACGGCAGCCCAGCCGTGGTGAGAAACAGCAAGCAGTATACAGCAGAGCGGGGAGAGTACATTGCAAATGACGATTGCAACTGAACTGGGCAGCAACAAAGCCACCAGCAGCTCCCCAGCCCCCTGCTGGTAAACCGCTGGCCTTTGGGGTAGCTGCGCTTGCAAACTTTAAAGTTTCTCTTGGATCTGCAGCTACATGTGTGTGTGTGTGTGTGTGTGTGTGAAAAGTTTCATTTGTGAATTGAAAAATTATTTCTAGTTTCATATGCAGAGTGTGTGTCATTTACAGAGCCAAGACGAGAGGAGGGGTGGAGTGGAGTGGAGCAGCCGGCTAAGCCAAACAACTCAGCCAAGCAGCAACACCAGCAGCCATTGACAAAATGGAAAGTTGTTGACTTAGTTTCCGCTTCTTTGAGCCGCTTCTGTTGCCCCAGTGTTGCATGTGGCTGTTGCAACCTGCAGCTGGCTTTGCATGTGGCAGCATGCGTCTTCAACTCTTTTTAATTATGTTCCTGCTTCGCTTAAATTGAAGCAGTTCTACAAGTTTCAGTTGGCTTTAAGCTACCCCAACATGGCGAATAATATTCTAAATTATTTTAGGCATTATTTTTTACATTTTGAGTCAATTAAATAAATAATTGCTGAGTTAGCACACATTTGCCAAGACTTGACAAGCAGCTTAAAGAAATTATCCACACAAATGGAATTAACATACGAAAGGGCTAAGAGCACGTAGCACCGTCCATTTGCTCCAAGTCCAGGCCAAGCTGCATGTGGCACGTGCGCACACGTTGTTGCAGCTGAAATAAACTGAATTACATGAACTAATTAGGTATTTAGAGAGCAGACCTTATTGTCGGACATGTACGCAATGCTGGACCTGAAATATTACGTACTAAATAATATAGAAAGAGAGAGCGAGAGAGAGAGAGAGAGAGCTGGACAACAAATGCTGGAAATATTTTTATAAATTTCTATTTAAAAGGGGTTTATTTATGTTGCAGGATATCTTAATTAATGGCTAAAATTAAGTGATAATAATTTATTGAATGGAGAGTTTACACATACACATATCAACTGTAATACTGTAAATAATTAAGATAAAGTAAAAGATATTTTTCAAATATACTTGAACTGGTCAGTGCTTGAACTAAATTTAAAAAAGAAGAAGTTAAGAAATATTTGATTATTTACTTAGAATTAATTGAAGTCAGTTTCATTTCTGTTTAAATTGATTTATAATATTGTATTTACAATAAGAAAAAATTGTCTCTTTCTGTTTATTGCTTAGCTTAGGTAGGGG